CAATGGATTCTAGAACAGTATTGAGTAGAAGAGTGTGTAATACAGATAGTCTTATTCTGTACTTTTCAATTTATGCTGCAAAAAAATCCTAAATGTTAAGTGCCATTGACTGATTGTGAGACACATGAAGGGGTGTGTGCTAAGCATTGTTAAAGCACTGTCAAAACCACCATTACAGTGAATGGCAAGTTCTTTGAAGTTCTTATGAACACTCTTCTGAGTCTTTTTTCATAGTCAAGCAAAGATGTTGGGACAATTTGACCCCATAATTGGCACTTGTTAGTCTCTCCCTTGATGATGACTCTCCCTTGATGACCTGCATGCCTAGTTCTCTTTGTGAGTTGGTTTATAGACTTTCATTTATGCTAGGTGATTTAACATTTATGCGCATAAAAATGTTAAATTTCTTCATGTTCTTAAAACATTCTGAACAGGAATTTCTAAGGCCAAGCAGGCTGTTGCATGCTAATTTACCTCTGTTCTGAACCTCAGGTGGTCAGACTTTATTAAGACAGGAAGTAGACATGTGTTGTAGAAAGAATTGAGACAGAGCAGCAATGTCCCTCCAGTGCTCTGTCCTTTCAGAACAACTCAAAACTTGCATTAGAACTTCTGTGTCATGGAACAAAATGTGTGATGCACAGAGTTGTATGAACACATTATCAATTGAATCTATGGAATGTTTAGGATTCTGTGACATTTGAGGATGTTGCCGTGACCTTCACCCAGGAAGAGTGGGCTTTGCTGGAACCTTCGCAGAAGAATCTCTACAGAGATGTGATGCTGGAAACCTGCAGGAACTTCACTTTTATAGGTAAGAATACCATTTTACATTACCTTACTATATTAAGGAAGGCATGTGTTTTGGTATTGATGTTCTGTGATTTGGAATAATATAAAGGAAGAGCATGATGTATAAATCTGGCATTATTCATATACACTAAATGACAAACTAATGTTTCAGGAATTCTAATTCATTATAAATTTTCCTTGACTACATTTTAGGAAACAAATGTGAAGATGAGAATATTGAAGACCATTATAAAAGCTGTGGAAAAAATCTAAGGTAATTAAAAAAAATAAAGCAAAGTTCCTTTGAAGGAATTTTAAAAACATTTATTATTTATTTTTGTGTGTGTGTGTTTGCAAAGCTGCATGCAAGTGGTAAGGAGGCCAGAAGGGGGTGTTGGACTCATGGAGCTGGAATTACAAGAGGTTGTGAGCTACCTGTCTTGGATACTGGCAGCCAAACTCTGGTCCTCTGGTAGAGCAGCTGTTATGCTTAACAGCTGAGCCATCTCTCCAGCTCCCCATTGAAGGTATTTAGCATGAGCATTTATGGATAAATAAATTTTTTTTTTTTTTTTTTTTTTTTTTTTTTTTTTTTTTTTTTTTTTTCTTACTGAGACAGGATCTCCCTGTAGCCCCAGCCGGCCTGGCACTCACAGAGATCTGCCTGCCTCTGCCTGCTGAGCAGTGGGATTAAATGTGTGTGCCACCACCAACTTTGCTTTTTTTATCATTAGGAAATGTAACATGTACCTCAATTTAAGAATCCTATTCAGTGTTTGCAGGGCATTTCACTTGCAAACAGTACTAGGAACTCAGGTTAACAAATCAGGTTAACTCAAGTTAACTCTTATCACAGCTTTGTGGGAACCATACTGTAGAATTTTCTTTTTTTTAAAAAAAATGTTATTATTATTTTCTGTATATGAGTGTATTGCCAATGTGAATGTAAGTACCCCCATGTCATGCAGTGCCCACGGAGGTCAGAAGAGGGCATTGTATTCCCTGGAACTGGTGTTATGGATGATTGTTAGCTACCATGTGGGTGCTGGGAACCAAACTTGCGTCCTTTTCCAAGCAACCAGTGCTCTTAATCACTGAGCCATCTCTCCAGCCCCTAGAATTTTCAGTCTATTTAGTTTCAAACCATTCAAATATGGCAGAAAATGTATATCTGATTTTGGCAACAGTGTATGACCTACACTTTGTAATAAATAGTAATAAATTGAGTTTTAATATGTTTGTTGTTTTTACAGAAGTTCTGTGTTTGAAACACTCTATGAGCATAAAGAAGGTCTTCAGGATGGAGAAACTTTCACTTGGATAGCAAATGCCAATGTGATCATGAATATTTCTAGTGACTTAACTCCATGTGAAAGCAATGTGTGTGGGAAGGTTTTCAGGTGTCATTCCCCCTTCAGTAACTATCCTACTTCTCACTCTCAGTACAAACCATATGAGCATGAGGAGTATGGAAACAAGCCCCAGAACTCTAACTCTCTCACTGCATGTCAGAGGGGCAGGTGACACGACCATGTGCACGTCAGAGAGGACAGTTGACATGACGATTTGCAGGTCAGAGCGTGCATGTGACACAAACATCTGTACATCAGAGGGGGCAGCAGACACCAACATCTGCACGTCAGAGGGGGCAGGTGACATAACAATCTGCACGTATGATGGGGCCGGTAACAAGCTCAGCTGCTCGTCAGAGGGGCAGGGTAGATGACCATCTGCTCCTCAAAAAGGCCTGATGACACGACCATCTTTTGGGGAGAGAGGGCCGTTGACAAGACCCTGTGCCGGTCAAGAGGGCAGGTGACACGATCAACTGCCCATCAGATGGAGCAGGTAACACGAACCTCTTTATGGCAGAGAGCGCAGGTGGCATGACCATGTGCACGTCAAAGCTGGCAGGTGATATGACCATGTGCACGGCAGAGGGGGCAGGAGACAAGGTCATCGGCTCGTCAGAGTGGCAGGTTAGATGTCCATCTGCTCATCAAAAGGGCATGTGACACGACCATCTTTAGGGCAGAGAGGGCCGTTGACAAGACCATGTGCAGGTCAAGAGGGCAGGTGACACGACCAACTGCTCGTCAGATGAAGCAGGTAACACGAACATCTTTATGGCAGAGAGCACAGGTGACATGACCATGTGCACGTCAAAGGGGGCAGGTGACACAACCAGCTGCACGTCAGACGGTAGGTGACACGACCATGTGCACATCAGCGGGGCAGGTGACAAGACCATCTTCATGTCAGACTGGTCAGGCGACACGACCATCTGCACGTCTTTAATCAGCGTAAGAATCTTGAAAGACACGAAATAAAGCATACTGGAGAGAAACCCTATTCATGTAAACATTGTGGTAAAGCCTTTAGATGTCATAGTCATCTTCAAAGGCATGAAAAAAATCATACTGGAGAAAAACCCTATGCATGTAAACAATGTGGGAAAGGCTTTAGATATCACAGTTGTCTTCAATTACATGAAAAAATTCATACTGGAGAAAAGCCCTGTATATGCAAACAGTGTGGTAAAGGATTTAGCCGTCACAGTAATCTTCAAAGACATGAAAAAATTCATACTGGAGGAATACCATATGAGTGTGAACACTGTGGTAAAGCCTTTAGACATGATCTTCAAAGGCACGAAAGAACACATACTGGAGAGAAACTCTATGAATGTAAGCAGTGTGGTAAAACCTTTAGATGTCACAGTCATCTTCAAAGACATGAAAAAATTCATACTGGAGAGAAACCCTCTGAAGGTTCACAGTGTGGTAAGACCTTTACACTCAGCAGTAGTTTAAAATTACATAAAAAAAATTCATAGGGTT